AAAAAAAAGGGGGAAGGGAAAAAAAACAAAAAAAAAGGGGGTCCCCCCCCCCACACGGCAGGTTTTTTGTGGAATGGGGGGGTTTTCACCCTTGATGGGGTACAAAACCAACCGCGCTCCCGGGGGTTTTTTAAAACCTATTTTTTTAGAGGGGGGGGGGGGGGGGGGGGGGGGGGGGTTGCCACTGCAATGTGGATGGATGCGTTGACAATTAACCTCGACTGCAGCCGCAAAAGTAGTTATACAAAAATCACGCTCAAACCTCGCGGCGTCGCGCGCTCAAAACATGACGGGTATCAAACAAACACCCCCCCTACCATCAAAAATCCAATCGCACCCCACCTGCATGAATACCATCTCTATGACACCATCACGCAACCTGCGAAGTCATCCCGTCGATCCGCACAAAACATGCAGCCAGTACAACCCCTCCCCTTGCGTGAGGCACGCCTCCGCCCATGCAACAGCATGGTCGCGGCAGTAGTGAATAATATTACAAGAGAGAAAAGGACAGCACCAACCAAACCCAACTAGACTAGCCCTTCCCCCTTGAGCATCCCGCCCCCGGGGGTATCGTCGTCGTCGCTTTCCGAGTACTCGCGTGATGAATCCATGCCAGGGGAGTACCCCGGCCTGGGCAACGCCTCCCCAGGGAAGTGAACTCCTGCCATGATCCCCTCCAGCCCGGCCTGGATGGGAGGTAGAGGAGACGGGGCGGGCTGCTGCTGCTGCTGCTCCTGCTGCTGCTCCTGCTGCTGCTGCTGTTCCTGCTGCGGCTGCTGCGTGGTGATCGGCGAGGACGGTCTCGTCGCGCCGGACCCTAAGGCCGGCAGAACGCTTAGCCGCGGTGACTTTGGCCTCGGCGACTTCGGTCGTGGGGACTTTGGCCGGGGCGAGTTGGAGGCAGCGGCGGCGCGGGCCCTCGGAGACGTCTCCTCGATGTCGATGTCGTCGGAAGGGCTCTCCGAGTCTGAGAAGGTGCCAACGACCTGCAGGGGCGCGGGGCGGAGGGTACTCATGTAAGCGCCATGCCGTAGTCGTTGGACCACTGGCCACGCACGCCGGGACGGAGCGATATGGCAGATGGTTTTCGCCGGCCCAGGCTACGCTTTACAAGGATGGAATACAAGTAGAAGCTGGTCACCATCCCTCCTGGCGTTTGCGATCAAGGAGGGGTAGACCGAATAAAACCAACCCTAACCGAAATCCCCAAAATAACAACGATCCCATACTTTGTTCAATATGCCGAGCGCCCACATCTTGCGACGAGGGCTGCCACAATAATGATGTCGTGCTCACAGCTTCTTTTACGTCACACGCACACGCCAATGCAAGAGAGTCTACGAAAGTCGAAAACATCTGACCCAGGGGCACAACAACAAAAACAAAAAAAAGGTCCGTAGAGGAAGGTCCGCTATAAATAGCGTGACACAACTGCTACCGATACCCTGATCGTTACCTGCATGAGATCCAACGTGCCCAGCGCCCTCATCTTGCCGGACCTCGTCGCCAACAGCCCGTCGCGGGCCTCCTCAGCTCCCTGTCCACCCATCGACTTCCCGAACGTGCTCCTCGCGAAGGGACCGGAGCACCACAGGTTGCTCCCCAGGCTCGAGTCCGACGCCGACGGAGGAGAGATGGTGACCCCGTGAACATCGGCGGGGGACGGGGTTGGCTCGTGGGTGACGGCCGATTGAGCGCCCTCGCCGATCTCGGCCTCCTCTTCTCTCTGCGCGGCGGCGCCTTCTTCTGCGAGATAACAAGGCGGGAATCGAAGGGGTAGGTGGGTTGATGAGAGCTGGGTCTTGCTGGACACGGGGTTCGCGTGAGGTGAACTGACTGAAAATGCAACACCGGTAAAATCGTGCGTGGTCTAAACGACTTGCTGTGCTTCGTCAAGACAAAACGTTGTACACAACGGGGGTTCACACAACTTGAACCACAAAAAAAAAAAAAAACACGCACACACGAAAGTATTGTTGACAAGAGACTGGCCAATCATTGGTGCACAGCAGTAGCAGATCTCGGCAAACCGCGATACATGCCAACGAAGCACCAACCTTGAGGAGGTGGCGCGAAACTCTCTTGGCCCACGTCTCCACCGCTAAACGGCCGGCTGGACCGCCGCACGAGCACCTCCGGTGAGGGCGAAGACCCCGGATCAGAGTCTGTCCCGGGGGACAGCATAACCCTGCTCGGGAAAACCTCGTTGTGCGACGAAAGCGTCAGGCCAAGGCGTCCCAGCACGGTTCTACCGTCCCCGCCGCTGACTTCGGCCGGGTCCGCGGTCATCGCGGACGCTTCGCTGACGCCGCCGCCACCTCTCCTTGCCGCGGCGGTGTCGGCAACGGGGTCCTCTCTCTTCGTCGTGGGCGGCGTTGTCGGCGACAGCTCCTGGGGCGACCCGAGACGGCCGGGCATCGAAGCCCCCTGCATCTGCGGCGTCGACACCTCTCCCGTGGCGGCGCCGATGGCCGGCTGGACGCCGCCTCTCCCCGCCGCTGCAGGCGGCCCTTCGTCGGCCGTCCTCTCGGCGCCTCGTTTCTTCGCGTCCTCCTCCGCCGCCGCCTCCGCGGCCGCCTCCGCCACCGCCGCCACGACCCTGCCCCCTCGGATCACCGGCGGCGACGGAGACCCCCCGCCGAACGACTCCCCTCCCCCCCCCGGTGCGGGCCCCGCGGGGTCACCGGCCTGGGCAGCCGAGGAGGCCGCCGCCGCAGCAGCAGCAGCAGCAGCAGTAGCGCTCGCTCCGGCGCCGGCAGGCCTACCGGGAGCACCCCCCTGATGGAACCGGAAGAGGTCGGCGGCGGACGAGGCGGCGGCGGCGGCGGCGAGGCCGGCGGGGCTCACGGCTCCCGCGAAGACCTCAGACAGGCTGAAGTCGGACTCCGCCGAGACCGTGGTGGGGTGACTCAGGACGTCGGCGACGATGCGCCCGGTGCTGGTGGAGCCGCTAGAGATCGAGCCCGTACCGGGCTCCTTTTGATAGTACATTAAGTTGGATGGGGTAGGAATAAAAAAGGGGGGCGGTCAAGTCTGGGTGGGCTCCGTGGACAAGTGAATCGGTGCCTGATTGGGTGCGCCAGATGTGTAGCAAGTGGTAGGCAGGAACGCGGACAAACCCGCATGTATCCTTGCCAGGTCGGAAACCAGATGGGGATGGACAATCGGAACGGGGGCACAGCAATATGCAGACAAAACCAAGAGTTACCCACTCAAGAGGAAAAATAATTGTGTAACGGCCAATGGATAATGAGCGCGACACAGAGACCGCGTGTCCCTCTTACCGAAGTTGCGGGCGCGTCGCGAGGGGACGACCAACGTGCAGTCGCCGACTGGTGTTGTCGATGTTGACTTGATTGCGATTGCCTTAACGGTGACGAGGCGGTGCCGCCGGTTTGCGTCCGACTCCGTCCGCGGCTGGATCCTACACTCATCAGCCCTGAAATGAAACAGCAGAGAGGGGTCGATTGGTTTAGGCTGGTGAGCTTGTCGGGTAAGGAGAATTCCTTCAGAGCAACAAACACGCCGAGTTCGAGACATGTGCACGACGGGGGGTGATCAGCTGTTTCAATAAGGAGCTGAGCAAATATTCTAGCGGGGGTAGAGCGGCGGACTGGACGAAGAAAATTCGCGCGATGTATTTACAACTACCCCGAGCTTCGGAATCGTGTTTGCATGTCCTGTGGCGGGACGAACGAACCGCCCAAAGGAGGAGCCGCACGCACTCTCTCCCAAAGTGCCACAACCCCGTCGAGGTGCCCACCTCCCAAAACAAAACGCTTCAGTCCTTCACAAGCGAGGCCGAGAACGCATCGCTCGCACACACCTTGCCACGTGTTTCTCCAGGCTGAAATGCTTCCGCCGCCGCCGCCGCCGCTGCCACGCCGCGTATCGCTCGCCCCTGGAGCCGGGGCGGTTTGCTCCGCTACTCCCGCCCTTCGTTCCGCCGAAGCCGGTGCCGGTGCCGGTACCGGCGCCGGCGTCGGCGCCGGTGCTCCCTCTGTGCCCTGCCGCTGCTCCTCTACGGGCCTCGCTTCGGCGGCGACCGCAGCGGCTTCTTCCGTTACAGCAGTGCCGCTCCGTGTCGTCGTCGCGCTAGCGGTAGAGCTCTCCTGCGAAGGGTCCGACGGCAGCTTGGACGACGGGCGAAGGCCTTCTCTGTCGTCCGACCACGCGCTAGCGGCGGCGTCCTCCGAGAACTCGTCTTCGCTGCCCGACTCCCCCCCGCCGGCCTGCGCCGCTAACGCCACCCCTGACCCCGCCGCCGCCCGGCCAGCGCTCGAGCCGCCCATCACGACCGCCGGGCTAACGCTAGGACTCGCGCTAGCGAGACCGCCATACACATCGCCACCACCGCCTAGAGAGCTGGTTGGCGTCACCACCCTGCCCCTTCCTCCCCCCGCGGGGCCCCGTCCCTCTTCAGCGACGGAGCCCCCACCCCCCGCCGCGGAACTACTTGGCGATCGCCTGGCCACGAAGATGTCGGGCAGTGCGTCGTCGCCGGGTGGCTTGTCACCGCCGTGCTCCGATCCGTCGCTAGACTCGTCACGCTCCGAAAGCACCGCAGTGGCAACCTTCGTGTTCGCAGAGGAAACCGGCCAAAAAGAACGGCGGTGTATGATATGATATGATTGGGGGGGGGGGGCAACCAGGGGAAAAAATGATACTCTTAAGATATGTAAATATGGGTGTTTTATAATAATTACTCATTAATTGTTGAGTTTCAGAGGTAAAGGCCAAGTGAAGACCCCGAACAGAACAGGAGGGTCGCGTCACGGGAACGTCATGCTTCGACAACCCCCAACAGTGCAGCAGAAGACCCGACGCAACACCCGTGTACACAAAAACACACAATTACAGCCCGCCCCCAACGCATCCCGGCGTTGTAAGCATGTGATCTAACGAATACGGCATGCGTTTTCGTGAGGGCACCCCCCCGCAACCCACCTCAATCGAGCTCATCCGCCCTATGCTTCCGTTGCTGCTCCGGTTTCCCGCCGCCCCCAGCATGGTCGGCGGTGATCGCGAACCAGAGAGCGCCCCCCTGCGCACGGCGCCACCAGCGCCGGCCGCATTCGAAGCGGATAGCAGCGAGGACGACGACGAGCCACCGGTGCCGAACAGGGGGTTGTTGGAGGACAGGGACACGCCGTAGCCTCCACCGGATGAGGACACGCCGGTGCCGGAGCCGAGAGGAGCCAGCGAAGGGGGCATCGGCTGGGGGCTAGGGCTGGCGCTGTCGAGGTCTGCGCCCAGGAACATCGGGTTCGTGGTTTTGAACTCTCCCTGTTATAATAGGAAGCACACATGTAAGAGGGGGGAGGTTGAGGGTGGGTGGAGGAATATCGCGGAAGCAGCAGATATGAATGGAAGGATGGCATAAACGGAGAGACACACAAAATAATATACACGACAAGATTATAGCAAATACTTTTTAAGTACAAACACAAGAGTAAGACTTGTGAGTACAACAAATACTTCTGAGTACAAGGTGATAACAAATACTTCTTTGTTGTGGTCATTGTGGTCGTCGAAATATCGATCATGTCTTGTCATATTACTAATCATGTGTTGCCTTCAGACCAAGAACACGAAAGTAAAAGATAATTGACCAGTGGGAAAGTTAAAACTAAAATCCACCCGCGATTACCACATGCCCTCTCGGCACCCACCTCTGAGCGATCATCTCCGTAGTGGCCAATCAGACCGGCCTCTTCTGTCTGGGTCTTTCCCTGCAACGAGTGTCGTCACGAGCATGAGACCGGCAAGGGATGAGCACTCCCAAGAAACAATTGTACACAACAAAACTCAGTAACAAAGGGCAAAAAGCAACCGATACCCCCGACTTCCGCTCGCGGCAACCGGAGGAGGCAAAACAACCACGGTTATATCAAGTGTTCGCATGCGTAGCGAGGCGCAGAAAGCGGAGGAGGGCATGCGGGGCTTCAAGGAACCGGACGCGGCGACAGAGAAAATTCTGTTTCGGCCGGGCGAAAACCAACCTTGGTTCTGACGCCGGCCAGCGCCTCGAAAGCAGCCCGTAACCAACGGGCTCTAACATCCTGCGTAATTTCACACGAATGTTGAACACGCTCAGCCGGCGATCGCGGTACTCTCCCTTTCTCTCGTGTCTTTCCGCCTTTTCTGTGCGGAGTGAGGGTGATTTTCACGCACCCTACCGTAGACTGACTTCCAAGCCTGATTGTAACTCAACCAAGAGGGAGCTAATGAAAACCGACCCGACTGATTTGCCACAAAAGAAAGGACAGCTTCTCGACCACATCTCTCGCCATCAACCACCCTGTTCAGTACGGCCACTCTCTTGTTGTTGGGGCAATCGGCCCATCCCATCGCATTACCGTCCATCTTCCACACAAGGTCTTTGATAAGGGTGCGCTATTGATTCGCACTTGTAGGTGTTCCAGAAGATGTGAGTGTACAGCTGTAGATTTATAATACCACTCACCATTGCCATGTCTCCGAAGCGACGGGTTCCCTCCACACTGTCCCCGGGTACCCTCAGCGGGTTCTGTAGGTCGTATCTGCAACACCAGTGCCGATCGATGCAACAGCGGCCAAAAAAAAGGTGGGGACCCCAAGAGGTCGAAACGCAAAAGTAGAGCAGCCTTAGCGGGGAGAAAGCAAGAGAATCATGCCCCCAAGACAATGCTGTTCCGGGTCGTGTGGTGTGGTTTGCTCGTGGTCTGCCTCATTGGTATCTACTTGAGGACGGATTTCAACGTGGAGATGACGCCCAACATCAGTAACAACTCCAGTACAACATCCACACACACACAAGCACGAAGTCTGTTCCCCCCCGCGTAACCTTCCCCACGGACCCCCATAAAACAAAAAACTTACTCTGCGGAGTTCTTCTGGCCGAACTGAGACATCCAGTGGACCGAGCCGATCGTGGTCTTCGAAGTCGCCGGAGACACGGTGCGAATCCCGGCCTCCATGAAGTCACCACCACCCATCTTGCTGTCGCCCCGTGACCCCTGGGGAAAGTCTCCATCGGAATGTTTGTCGTGATCGGGGGCCCCGAGTCTTCTGCGAGCACGACGAATCGGCGGTTCGCCAGAGGCACGGGGGTAAGTGCGGTGAAAATTATTTCCAAGCCTTTTTTTTACTGTTTGTATGCCGGTAGCCCGCCGTCTTACGCATGATGCTCGGGACGTCTTTTTCGCCAATCACGCCCGTGTGAACATGGTCGATTTGCAACGCAAACAATCAACGCAATCGCAGGCGAACGTGTGCCTTCACTCGAAGCACAGGTACGTCACACACACACACACACCCTGGAGGGGAACGCATCTGCCTCGTCTTAGTCTTACCGGTTGGACATCCTCGAGAGGTCGAACACTCGGGGAGACACCTGCTCCTTCTCCTTGTCGACCGTGTGCTTAGCGGGGACCGCCGGTACCGGCTTGAGGAGCTCGACGTCTTCGTAGCCCCCGCCGTTGAACAGGCAGTGGAAGCACACACCCGCGGCGCAGAAACTGCGGACGACAAACGAGGAGCAGGAAGCCAATGGGTATGGGGCAAATCCAAGCAAAGCACGCGCGAAGGGGGGGGGGGGGGATGAGACGAAATCAAAGAGTTGGTTTACTTTTCTGGCACGGGGGAAAAAGAAGTTGGAGGCAAGCAGCGCCGGACGAAGGTCGGAGACTTACTTCCTCCTGTGTGTCCACGGCCGGTGCGTCTAAATTTACAGAAGCTAAGAAGCTCAAGCCGAAAAACAAAAATACTCCGTCGCTCATGCGGCGGAACCGCTACCTACTGTTGTGTGGGCTGTTCGCGCCAAGGGGCTGACCGAGTAGTCAGGCGGGTGCAGACATTTCTAAAAAGACCTCGAACAAAATTACATCGCAACGCTCAACGTCATTTTAGTGCTCAATTTTTTAGGCAGTTCTCAGGGAAAACTCACTACAACACTGTGTTCTCATTTTCGTGCCCGCTATTTACATAATACTTGCAAGGAACAAACAACGCAACACGCGTGCTCCCTCACCAGACACACAAGGTGCCGAAGAGGGCCAGCAGGAGCAAGCCGCCGTTTGTCAAGAAGTTCTCCCATGGCCCGCTCGTGCCGAGCTCGTCGACCGCGGACATGGTCGATACCATTGTCGAGACGTTGCCGCAGTTGGTGGTGCCGATGCAGAACGCTAGGTCGGATAAGCTGACACGGCGACGGTTGCAGGAGCAAGACGGTACGAGACGAGCGACAGGATGAAAGGTTGGCGACTCACGGTGTAAAGAAATTAAACAACCAACATTGTGCTTGGCGGGCCTACACAAGGTGAAATACACACGAACCAGTTATATATCACACATCCCAAGCAGCCAAAACTGTTACGAAGTACTTTTTTCGTCTCATAGCTTTTAATCAGCAGCCACAGCATTTCTCCCGGTGTTATAGGATCCAATCCTGCCAGACACGCAAATAGTATGTCGTTCTATTTCCTGTTACATGGTTCATCTATTGACAAGTATAACTACTGAGTTAAGTGTACATGTTTATCCTTATCCGTCATACCTGATGTCCTCCGGTTCTACCCCAAGAGAGTCGGCCAGCGCGGCCAGCCCCGAATCGGCGAACTCGTTCACCATCGCCGCCACGCGCGACGCTGACGACCCGATCCCGCCGTCGTCAGCTGGCACACTAACCTCGAAGTCTATGTCCACCGTCTCGCTCCCCGAGTCCTCCTCTCCCTCCTGCAGCCACCGCCGCTGCCCCCCCAACGCGCCATAAAAGCCGCCAACGGGATCTCTGGCTTCCGCGACAAGGTCCGTCTCCGGCTGGTGGTGGATGAGACTTTTCGTCTCATCTCGACGGACGTGCCGCGACAAGGTCGGCGACACCGGTTCGGACATGCGGCGTCGGCCGTCCTCCCCAACAACCTCCGCCGTCCCACCACCGATGTCATCATCATCAGCAACACCAGCGGCAGCGGTGCCGACGACGGGGGTGGGAGAGGGAGCAGCAGTAGCAGCAGCGTCATCGTCTTTGTCCGAGTCTAAGGTGCCCGGTGCCCCCACGACGACTCCTCCTCCTCCGGCGGACGAAATGCCGAACAACTCCTCGAGCCCCTCGCGGGCGGCCTCGTACACTTCCTCGTCCTCCGTCTCCTCGTCTACCCCGGAAACCTAAACCAAAAACAAAAAAAATCGCGGTCAGGTTCCTTCAATCCGCAGCAGCATCAACAAGCATCTCACCGAAATTTTCGACCAAGCACACCCAAGTACCACTGCCTTTGAGAAGCCCCCTCGTACTCTTTTCGATGCTGCAGCTCCACCTAGTGTCCCGAGTTCCCCCTCCTCTGGAACACTCCCGCCCCTTGCAGGAGTTCCGAAGCGCTTGCCAAGATTTCTCCCAAGGTCCTCCTCCAACTCCTGCGGCTACACACATTTTCCTCTTCCCTACAATACCTGACTCAGCGTCAAGCAAACGCACACATCGATCCCTCTTCCCCGGCTGACTTACCGTCAGGGATCCCGTGACGGTTGCGCCGACGGCTCCTCCCCCCACCATCGTCGGTGCCGCAGTCGGTGCAGCGGTAGGGACAGCCGTGGGCGACATGGAGGACCCCGTCGGTGAGGAGGTCGGGGAGGAGGTCGGGGACATGGACGAGTTCGAAGATGATGGTGCCTGGGACAAAAAAAAAAAAAAAAGACAGACGAATCGGGGTCGTAGGTATAAAAAGGAGATCAGGCATGCAGACGAGAACTAGGATCAGACTGAAAGCGGGCTTGCCTACTGCTATCAACCGACAGAAGGAGGAGTAGCCCCGAAACTCACCAAGCTAGAGGGAAAGCCCGTTTGCCCTGGAGCAAGGGTAGCGCCAGGAAATAGCGTGGAACCAGGAGCACGCGTAGCGCCAGGAGCAAGAGTAGCTGGTGGGGCCAGCGTAGCACCAGGAGCAAATGTAGTTCCTGGGGCAAGAGTAGTTCCTGGGGCAAGCGTCGCACCTGGAGCAAGCGTAGCGCCAGGAGCAAGCGTAGCGCCAGGAGCAAGCGTAGCGCCAGGAGCAAGCGTAGCGCCAGGAGCAAGCGTAGCGCCAGGAGCAAGCGTAGCGCCAAGAGCAAGCGTAGCGCCAGGAGCACGTGTAGCGCCAGGAGCACGCGTAGTTCCTGGGGCAAGCGTAGCGCCAGGAGCAAGCGTCGCACCTGGGGCAAGGGTAGCGCCAGGAGCAAGCGTAGTTCCTGGGGCAAGCGTAGCGCCAGGAGCAAGCGTCGCACCTGGGGCAAGGGTAGCGCCTGGGGCAAACGTAACGCCAGGAGCAAGAGTAGTTCCTGGGGCAAGCGTAGTTCCTGGGGCAAGCGTAGTTCCTGGGGCAAGCGTAGTTCCTGGGGCAAGCGTAGTTCCTGGGGCAAGCGTAGTTCCTGGGGCAAGCGTAGTTCCTGGGGCAAGCGTAGTTCCTGGGGCAAGCGTAGTTCCTGGGGCAAGCGTAGCGCCAGGAGCAAGGGTAGCGCCAGGAGCACGCGTAGCACCCGGGGCTAGCGTAGCGCCAGGGGCAAGCGTAGCGCCAGGGGCAAGCGTATCGGTCGGCGAGAAAGTGGTGCCCGTCGAGGTGGGAGCAGGGGTGTCCGTAAACTCCACCACGCAGTCCAGGCTAGAGTCGCCGAGGATGTACGTGTTGCCGCTCCCGGTAACGACAAAGGTAGCACGGTTGCCTGCGAAGCTGTCCACGGTAAGACCGCACCCCTGGGTCGCGGCGGGCATCAACGAGTGGGGGGGGGGCAAGCACAGTTTAGAGAAGGCAGATGCGTGCAACATGGCGCGACGGATCTGGGACAACTTCAAAGCTGTTGGCAGAAAGCAGTTCATCAAGAGCACACCAGGGTGAAGGGAGGGAAAAATACACCTTACGGACGACCTTGTTTGGACAGTCGTCGTCGGCATGCACAGGTAAATCAAGTCTGTTGCTGTCACCAAAAAGCTCACCCTCAGGTCGACGCTAACGACGTCGCTATCCCCGTCGAAGGCTATGGCGAAGTCGAACCCGCTGCTCCCAGATTCGTACCCGTCGATGGCTGACAAGTTCCCCTCGTCCACCTGTTCCACAGGAAACACACACACACACACACACAAACATACACACACACACACGGGGTCCCAGTTAATGGCATTTACAAGTGTTTTGTGTTTTCAACCGCACTGAGACTGACGTCTTTTCATTGGTCAGTCGGTTAGCGCGGTCGATGCTAATAATAAAAAAACATACAAGTACACACTCAGGTCAACACACGCCCACTGAGACTGGAGTATTTTCGTTCGGGCCTCGGTTAATCGCGGTCGATGTTGACCATAAAAACAACACACGCGCGCACCCCAACAGACCGCGTCAAGAGCAACTGTTGGAGCACGGAATCTGCTAGTACTGATGACACCCGCACAGCAACCGTCTCTCGGCTGACATCGCAGGGAGCCGACCCTCAAGACAGCAGTCAACGACAAGCAAGGTCCCCCCCCCCCCCCCCCCGAAAAATTTCAACGGGGTATAAATAAACAGCCCCATTTCCCGCAACAAAAAAAACACCCCACATCCCATTTTGTTCCCCGGAAGGGCCCAACTGTCCCATGGTTCA